CCGCTAATATTGTAAATTTATAAAAAACGATTGAAAATTCACAACACAATGCTTCGAACACTGATAGTTGCACTTTAGCTTGAGGTAAAAATACCATTTTGTAGAGAAATTAATTGTCTTTAAATTTGATGTGGGTATTTATGTCATACAATCCCTTTTTTTATGTTAAAAATTCTGGAAACTTTCCAACCCCGATTACACCAAAGCGTTAGGGTCGACCCAGTCTAACCGTGAAAAAATTAGTGACAAGCTGAAATTTGGTAAATAAGTTGATTTTGGAGTCCTTAAAATACCACCAAACCCCATAAGTGATCCGCCGTGTCTGTCACCTCCAAACTACCTTTGAAAGGGATTTTTTTATGTTTTTTGTCAATATCTTGAAAACAACGCTATTTGCAAAAGAATGTGAAGATAGACAAATGAAAGCGTAGGTTTGGTGCTGTACCAGTGGCGAAGTTATAATGTTAATTTTATTTTAAAAAATTAATTTAATTTTTAATTTTTTTTGGTGAAATCTAAAGAAATTTCTCAAAAATATTTAGGTAAGAACATTCATTTCGTGCCTATTCTAATGAAATAAAAAATCATAACAGTGGCAGTACTAATTTTTTTATGTCATCCCTTTTTTAATGCATTAAAACGATAATATATTGTAATATATTGTAGTCAGTAGGTATCTATGCAGTGCAGTAGGGTAACTTATTATGAGGTAGTGAAACTAAAATACGACCCGTTTAGGCAAATGAATACTTAACATAGCATAAGTTTTTAATTAGGTACCTAATTAGATATTTCTATACCTATATTAATTCGTCAGACTCTATAACTGTCTACAATTCTACAAGCTAGGGTACACTTTAGACCAATTTTTCGCCACGAGCAAGCTTTTTTGCAACCGCCTGACGAACAGTTGCAAAAAATTTGCTTTAGACCCCTTTCGAGGTCCATGTATGTCTTGATCCACTCCTGCATTGGTAAGTTATTATTCAGCCATGTTTGAAACTAAAAAGGAAAATCATCCGGGTCAGTATTACATTCCAGCTTTGAGGCCTTTGTAAAGAAGGTATAATGAAACTAGAGGAATTGAAGCGATAGAGTCAAATAAGAATAAACTTGTAACAAATATAGCAAACGAGCTCCTGGATCACTGAACATCTTTTCCTTGGGTGATGATAAACGAAATACTGAAAACAGAATTGGAAAATTCGATACCGTTCGGGAGTTATCTTGTCCACATACGGACGGACGGACGGACAAAAAGTCCAAAATTCTGAACTCGCTAGGAGCTTCTTAATAATATAATTAATCTTTTCAAAGAAAATACTTGTTAAAAGTCCTAAAAACGCATGGTTATTGGTACTGAGCTGCCTTTAGAGTCGGTGGAAGCTATGCTAAAATAAAATCCTTATTTAAATTTTGCTGTACTACATATTGCTGGTAGAGAACGTCAAGGTCCTTAATCTGTCATTTGTTATATTTCTTCCTTGTCTACAGTAGGTATAGACAAAATAATATTTCCTATTTGTTGAAAAGCCCAGATGTGGTACCTATCGCATTCAGAAATGGCGTGCATGGCAAAAATAACATTTTTAGAGGTCCTAATTTATGTTGACATTTTTAAATATCCATGACTTTATTTGGTTTTCAATTTCCTGGCCGCAACATAGGTATATAAATTTTGTTTGGCATAGTGACTTAATGAACTAAATATTTTTGAAAAATTTGTCTTTATTTCAATCAGAAATTAAAACATTAGTCTTTTTAAAAATAACCAAAATTAATATCATAACTCCGCCACTGGTACAGGAAAATATATAGGTATAGGTTTTATAGGAAAATATGCTTAAATTTTTCTATCTTCATATTTTTCCCTAAATAGCTTTGATTTCAAGATACGTATTCCCAAAAAACAACAATAGGCATTTTCAACCCTTTGAGGGTTTTTTTAAGGGTTAGGTGGGGGTAGGGTTTGGTGGTATCTTATGGAACTCAAAACATGCGTTTACCCTGATCGAGTTTCAAAGGTGATCTTTCGTACCCGTTTACGCTTTCCAATAAATCAATTCATGACGAGAATTTTATTGCAGTTCTACAGCAGAGCCTCGGAGGGAATCAAACTACTAACTCGATATCTAGTAATAACACAGGCGTTAGTGGTGCGGGAACCACAAATTGTTCTTTTACAATAAATGTTAATGTTCCAAATAAATAATTATGGTCAAATTTATGTTGGAGTTTTTAATGAATTGTTTGAAGATGTCAAATTTAGTGTATAAATAACAGTCCGGTAAGTGTTGCTTAGCGACACTTACGGACGTAAATTGATAGTAATCGAACATCTACGGGTCAGTATGAAATAAAAAATAATAAATCGAGTAAGTACCTACATATGTGATATGTGTAAATAAATTCCTTATTCAATTGTCTATTCACGTTACATTGAAATGAAATGACTGAACTGAACGGAGTAGGTACTATACGCGTGTAGGGTAGGGATAGCACGTTATACTTTATCATTTTTAAGCTCCACCTTTACTGGCAGTTTCGAATACTTCGTCTCCTACCGCTGCGTCCCTTAGAAAGTACTGGAGCAGCTCCCGATTACTCTTAATTTAGGTTTACAGCAGAGCATCTTCGTTTTGTGAATTTACCATTTGGCTTATGGATGTTGTTCGCTGTTGCTTCACTAAACTGAAAACTCGTGGGGTCCGAGGATCATTAATTCTGTTAGCGACTGTATTTACGTAATTAAAGATCTTACGACATTGTAAACAAACAACTTGTACAAGTTTACATACTATGGGTGAACTATGCGGAAATTGCAAGCGTGCACATTCTTGACCTTAACCTTTTCTGTTTACTTGGCTCTAATAGTCACAGAAAAGGAGCTTTTGCAAATGTTAGCGATTCTGTAGCACTTAGCCCTCCCCCCCTCCAAACTTTTTTATACTGACATAAGTATGCTGTGCTGACATGACGGTATTGTATAATGTATAGTACTTCGATTGTACATATTATTTTCACAGTCTGGGCATTTTTAATTCTGGAGATGTTTAGAAACGTCAAATGAGGGCTAAGTGAACGGATGAAATGTTTGAAATTGCCTGGAAGTGACGCTAAATTTGTAATTGGCCTATCTGGCATAGGTATGTTTACATTTTGTCCAACATGCCGTAAGTAGCTTTCATGACCAATTAGATCATTGCCAAACTGTAAATGGCGGAAATTTTGAGCATATGCTCTAATGGTTTTCGTTTTAGAGATTATGATTTTGTCTTTCCTTTTTTGTATTTTTCGTTAATGTAAGCTTGTTATTGTTATTTTGTTATCGTAGTTGATACAGG